ATACATATGTGTAACAACATTATAAACTCAGTTGTTGTTGGTTTACCGATATATAATATTATAATTCACACCAGAACGATATTTAAATAAAACGCTATGCGTCTACTATATAAGACATCACACTGGTTTTATTCATGAACATGTTTATTACCAGGCCAAACAAACTGTGGCAAATTGAAATAAATAATTAGCGATCCGCTCCGCTAGGATTGCCCTTAAATCGACCTTATATAGAACCGCGTTTTAATCCAAACATATCGCAACTATATTAAAAGTTAATCCAATGATATCGTCACAAGAATGGCAAGACATGAATGTGTGTGTTTGTGTGTGTGTGTGATTACGTATTAACTTTTCTGTGATTTCTTTTGGCTTGGCCGATTTTGTTCAAACTTGGCAGGCATGTCAAACCTTCACTCTTAGATTAGTGAGTTGGTAAAACCTGAAAAAGGCAAATGTTTTTTAATTAATGATCATTCTTTTTATTTTGGCTAAGTTGCATACCGACGAGAGATTACCAGGCAACTTTGAATGGACTATAAATGCTGCAGTACTAGCCTGTGTTAATCAGCGATCGACATTTGTTGTTACACATTTTCATGCTTGTTGGCAATAAAGTAAACAAATGACGTCACAATGCGACGGTTATGTTTTAATATTTCAGGACGCTATAAATGCAGACTCGTATCAGCCACATAATACACACCTTACAGTAGGCGATGTGACGTCAGCGTTTGATCAATCGGACTACGTCATTGAAGGAGAGATATTTCTTGGTGGACAGAATCACTATTATATGGAACCACAGTGTTGTATCGTTCGACCTGGGGAAAATGGTGAAATAACTGTATTTACTTCCTGTCAGAATTTATTAGTAGTTCAGGTACAGTTTATTTACCACTATGTACTTTTTATGCAAAAATGTTGCTAGCAACGATTAGCCCTGATACAAGTTGCGTATGTCTTGTTCAACACTGTGGTATGCACTTGTATCAACCTCACAGTGACGCCATATTGGCGGAAAAAAAATCATTTTTCAGACAAGAATAGCTGACACTCTGGGTATACCAATAAGCAAAGTGACCTGCAGGACTCGGCGTTTAGGTGGGGCCTTTGGCGGTAAACAGACATTTGCTGCATCACTAGCTATGAAATGTGCAGTGGTAGCCCAAAAGTAAGTTGTATTATTTTGTATTATTATACATTTTTCACCGTAAAGTTACAGCGTGTCGTAATTTTACGGGGTATTTCCATACTACCATATTAGGAAATTCGAATTCCAAATATGGAATGATTACGCGCGTAAGCGTCCTCTGACAATAAAAATAAACATGGCTGCCACTAGGGTTTGGCTAGACTGGCGCAGTCGGGGCGTTTAATTTGTTTTTGTAGTTTAAATAAAATAAAAAAAAAATCGCGAAATGGAGGTGTTAGCGCGAAATCACCCCGACTGGTTTATTCTGCAGGAAATTCAGTGCTATTAAATATTCATGATGCACATATTATAATGAGGTGGGCGCGGAAATACGTGCATAATGAGGTCAACATGGTAAAGG